CAGCTAAACTGTTCGAGTTTAGCAGAAGATAAATAATCTCATCATCCTTAGACCACACTCCAGCAACACATTACAGTAGTTTGTGTTTTTACTTCAGCCATTCTTGGCTGCCAACAATCACACTAATGAATTTAAGTCTAGCAGCCTTTTGACTGATACCGACTTCAACCTAGTAGAAACTGCACAGATCTGCTTTTAAACGTGATATGTGGCTTGAAGGGTTGAGAAGCTGCTTATTATTGTTTGGAAATGGCTAATTTTTCAGAATTGTTTTATGAAGTAACAGATTCCTGTGAAACTTGTTCAGAGTTGAGATAGATTTCAAACACATCCTACTTGCCATTTATGGTCCCTGATCAGCTCCTTTGCAGCATGTCAGAGTACCTGGAATTTGGCAAAACTCAGCGTCTCCAACTGGGTGCTTTCCATCTGGCAAATCCTGCATATAAAATTCCTGCTTCCTTCAGGGGAAAAATATTAATGAAATTGAACCTCATAAAAATTCTCTGTAGAGTGAGTAGTGTTTCTGCCTACTGATATCACAAGATATTGTAAAATTAAAACCATTCAGCCTTTCAGTTACTGTTAAGGCTATGTCAGTTTAGTAAGTAAAATAAACTGGGTGATGACTCGGCATGAGTAAGAGACAAAAGAGACTGTAGCTGGGATGGATGAAGGTCCTTTTCTCTTTACCAAGCACCTAGGCAACACAGCTCACTTCAAACATGTATGAACTTTATGTCAATCTCCTTTCATCATTTCTGTCTTAACTGGATTATTCCTTTGCCTGAAAAACCTGCACCTATTCTGGACTTGTTCCCCATCTTCCCTGCCTTGAGACTTGATTTGTGGTCCTCTCTTATATTTCCCTGTTGATTCTTTGTTCCAGCTACTTCCTCAGACTGCTCTGTACTTGATTACAATTTTCAGCTGCATGATGACCCTGCCCTGTATTTTTTCCCCATACACAAGAGTAAGAAGGTTGATTTGTCCACAAATATCTTAATCCTGACACCACCAATTCCTCTAATTTAGCAACTGGCATCCTAAACATTGTATGGTTTAGTGGTTTAATCCACAGACCACTAATATGGTCTGGCAACAGCAGTTTGGAACCTTTTGGTGTTGACAATTAGCCAAGCTCATCAGCAAACTCAAAAAATATGGAAACCCTTCCTTTAACTGTCTTTAGCTGACTGATCCCCAAGGTGGACACTGCTGTTGGAATTGCATGCTTTCCCACAGCTCATCATTCCTCTGACAGTGCCAGCACATTGCAGGGACTGACTTTACTCATAAAAAAAATTATGTTTGTCTATAAAGAGACAATATATAAGAAGAACATTTTAGCTTCTTCATTTAAATGCTTCCTGAAATGCAGAAAAATAACCAACCAGATACCCAAAACAAGACACACAGGTCTTCTATTTTCTTTTATTCTATATTATTTTCTTGTCATACACCATCTTGTCAATAACACTTGGACTTCTAAGGGTTCCTCATGTTGGCTCCATTGCTATTCCATTTTTTTGTTTATTTCCTGTGTGGCATTGATGTTATACTTCCTCCTGATTTCAGAGAGCAAGGTACAAAACAAGATTTCCTATTGGAAATATAATTTTTATGTTGTTCCCCTGACATTAACAAACAGTTCACACAGACTTTAAGGGTCACTTTTGTTGCTCTTCTTATTTATTAGGGGTCCACCAAGACTAGTAAAAATGCAGGACAAAACCCAACAAACAAGATGGATTTTTCAGAAATAATATTTTTCTATCACTTTATAGTTACAGTCACAGCTGTGCAACACACAATTTACTGAGCTGAAGGCTGGGAGAGAACTTTATGGTATTCATCATCATGTAACTGATAATTGTAAATGTAACTTAATGGCTACAAGTTATAGGTTATAGGAAAACATTTTTGAATACTCAAAAACTATGACAGGAAAAAAAAGTTGCAATAATTGTCATTAATTAAACACTGCCTTTGCATGAAGAAAGGCTGTAATCTTATTTATGCATATGATATGAGTATCATCCTCAAATCATGCCCTTTCCTTGTGCATGTGTCTGGCATTTCAGCTGATGACATGTCCCATTTAATTCTTTTTTTCTTCCTTACCCTTCTTTAATACCTCCCATGTCAAAATCTGCCTTAGCTGTTTGGAACATGCTTAGTCTAGTCTGATGATTAAAACATGACACAGTGTGTTTGGATCTCAGAAAGCCTCTGGTGAAAGTCTGATGTAAAAAGCCCCTCTCATCTGAGAGGAGTTCAACTGCAATAGAGAGCATTTTATAAAGAACCAATTTAAATACAGACAAGCTGACACTGTCCATAAGTAAATCTGCTATGAAAACACAACCAATAGTGGCTAGGAGGAGAGTGATTTGATTTGGCTCATCCCTTATAATGTCTTCATGTTTCTATGCCTTGTCTCTCATTCCCTTTGCTTCTTTATATGGATCCTTTCAAACCAGATCTCACAGAAAGTTAATTTCCTTTTGTCACCTAAAAAGTAATTAAAAATAAGCTATCTTTCTTCTTAATACCAATCCAGTTTGTTCAGCTTCTCATGAAAAATCAGAAGAAATGAAGCACTAGGAAGAGGCAATCAAAGTAGACACTGGGATAGAGAAGAAAGACCAATAAATACAGGTTTCAGCAGGAATATAATTATGAAAAATCTAGATCTATTTTACAGCAAATCAACACAGAGTACTAGCATATAGATGGTATATAAAAGGAACATAATTAAAAGTAGGTGAATTTCTAGGAAATATTAGTAGCACTAAAAAGGAAAGGAATTAAGTGTTCTAACATGAATTATTTGAAACAGGTTTATTTTGCTTTTACTACTCGGTACAAATCTTTCTTCCTATTACATTCAAAGACTTCTAAACAAATTTGTCTCATCTTTTACTATTTAAATTAACTTTATGCTGTTAATTAGAGTGATGGGGAGTTCTATCCAGCAACCTACAGGCAAAAAGCACTGTATACACAGTAGTTACAGCATCCAGTTACTTAAAAAAAAAAATATCAAGACAAAGCAAGCAATCTGCTCCCAAGATGCTAATTAGCCTTCATATAAGAAAAATGACTCATGATGGATGTAAAGGCATGCAATATGTCAGAGAGGGGAATGGATAGACACATCATCCAGCTGTGAAAAATATGAAACTAACTCGGAACTCTTCACCCTTGTTTGAAGTAGAGCAATGCAGTAAGCTGTGTCGTGTGCATAAACTTAGAATCTCAAAATAGATAGGAATGATGGTATTTAAATTTTTAAAAAACAAAGAGAAATTGAGGCAGAAAAAAAATCCCACAATGCTGAGAAAGACCTCAGCTCCAGTGCTCAAAATGTGCCATTGTATTAGTGCAGAAGAGTTACAGTTTTGGCAATCGGATTCTTGCCTAATTGAGATATCACAGTAAAGCTAAGGCTGATGTAGTACCAAAGATCAGCACACAAAAACTGAAGCCATTTTGTGAGAGCACAGGATCTACAACACTGACAAGTACTCCAGTTAGACAATCTAAAAATGATAATGAAGGCTGATGTGATGAGATTGCCTCACACAAGTGTATTGTTTTGTGCAAGTCCCATCCTCTGAATAAACATGTTCAAGGAGACCTACAAATTGAGAATTTCAATCAACCAGTGTTACAGCAACAAAGAGATTGTAAAAAGCACACATTGGTAGAATACAAGGATTAATGAAAGCAGCACCAGGGAAATTATTTTTATCAGAAAAAAAAAAGCTTATCTGAGTCATCACATCCTTCAGTACTCTTTCTTGTCACAAAAAAGCTTTCAGACATTTGGCCATTTCTTGTGCAATGATCATTTCACTTTTCTGCCTAGACATATCCTGAATGCTCTGCTTAGTCTGACATGCATCATATTAATGCTTTGACTGCCTCCACATGAACTTCAGAATAGGTATCAGGAAGGTTTGATTATTCATTCAAACCTGTCCACTTGCATTAATGCTCCTGGTAATGACAAATTATACGAGGGATTCTCCAGCAGTACTTAGAGGATCTAAGAAGGGCACAGTGGGCTTAGTTCTTAACTGTTCTGTAATAATACGACTGCACTAAATTCTGGTGATGTTGCATAAAACTCTATCACTATGAATGCAATGTGTGAAACGAAGATTAATAATTAAACTTGCAGTTTCATGAATTCTAGATGGGGGAAAACCCTGTTCTCTCTCTGAAGTAACTCAAAAGCCTCTGTAGTCAGGTGGATTTTTGAAAAAAAATAGTTTAATTAGGTACTGGACCTCTTTTCCTAATTTCAAGGCCAACTAAATGTAGTAAGTGTAAATAACCAGAAGTTTCTCTTGATTTTGGAGTTTTTCTCTGAGGAGAAAGGAATTCTAAATAATAGACTATATTTTGGCAAAGTTGTTGGGGAAAATATTTTGATTCAGCAGCCCTGAACCAAATAATTTATGAAAGATTTGTTGACAAAGATTAAGTTTTTGTTTTAAACCTCTATTCAGAACTGTCTCTGCTTGGCAGTTGTTAGTCTTGGTGTTTCTCCAGCTGCCAAATTTCAGTAAAACTGAAACCTTTGGCTTAGTTTTTACTCCTTTTATTTAATAAATGGTTTCAGTAGTAATCAAACTTGCACTGAACCTGGAAGAAAGTATCAGTTGCAAACAAAGAAAAAACATTAAAAGACATTTTTATTACATTATTGACCTACTAGGGAAGAAGTAATGTTTGATTAAAAAATAAGTGCTTAATGGCGTCCAAGGATGTTGTCCTACAATGGTCTTTTGATCCATTCTGCATAATCATTTCATATCCTGTTTGACTTAGTCCTCAGGAACACCTGAGACATGATCAAAGCACAGAGCAGAAGTCATTCCAACTTTTGGAATGACTTTTGCTCTAGCAAACACTGACTTCCCCAGGGGTTAATGAGCCCCACTCCTCAAAGCGCATGTCCCTACTGCAATGTAATACAGCTGCAGAAATCTGGGCACCCTCCACACAAGCACTCCTCCACCCACATAGCTTAGAGGCTGTGTACACAGAAACAGAATTTGGAGTCTGTCTGACAGTCCTGGTGTAGGGGATGGCTGCGGCTCCATGATGGGCACGCTGTGTTATCTGGCAGAGAAAGGCTGAGTGTTTCTCCTGTGCATCTCCATGAGAAATGTGGCATCCACCTGCTTGAAAGGTCAGACATCTCTGCAGTACAGGAGTCAAGGTAAAATTTGCAGATGGAATGAAAGAGGGTCAGCATTTCCTTCTACTTTCTTATCTTTTGCCAGCTAAATCATGGTCATTTGCTGTCAGGATTTTGGAGAAATTAGGATCTTATCTACAGGAGATGCATGTTCATTAGAAGCAACACTGTTTAATCTAAGTTAGACCATTGAAATCAATGGAGTTAGAGCAGATTTAGAACTCTCAGTTTGCAAACAGAATCTAGTCCTTAACTTGCTTACAATACTATTTTTATACTGTGACCTATTTTGTAGTTATCTTTGGAGAGGAATGTTTAAGTAAAGAACATGGTAAAAAAAAAATGTGTCTCATTTGCATGTTTTACATACAATTTCATTTATTCAACAGATATATATATGCATTCATTTAATTTAATAACTATTGCAAAAATAGATAGAAAAACTACCTAAAAATACTAAAATTTTAACGAAAAGCTTATTCAGTTATAGCTGAAGCTTTCAAAAGAGATTTAGAGATTCTGTTGTATTAAAGTTCAAGCTTGCTTTAGCTACATGACTGCAGTGTAATTTAATCCCTACTTACTATTTCATTTGTAAGGTGAAAGACTTCAGATAATTTAGAATATATGAATATGTTCATACATGACATTATAAAGAATAGCTCACATGTGTGCCAAAATGTATTGACTTAGCCATTTTAAAAAATAAAAAGTTGAATAAAAAAGAGCACCTGGAGAAAGATCTAGGTTTTATATATAAATAATTAAAAAAAAAAAAACATTAAAAAGAATTAAAAAGAAAACACAATTATGATTCTGTAACATATGCTTTTCAACACATCCCTTCCCCCATTTATTTAAAGACTGTGAAGAAAGCAAAAACACTTCAATATTCGACCTAATCTGCATAAGCAAGAGGTAGATCAAGTAGGATTTTAGTTTAGTTGCTCTGAAAATGCAGATTGCCTTCACACTTTGTGATATGTCACAGGGAAAAAAAAAAAAAAAACCAGCCTGCACTTTTCAATCCTATTTTAAACAGGATCTGTGAATAATATCTGGACTCATCCATCCATGTCAGACCTAAGGCTTGTGATTGCTTCCAAAATAGCCCAGTCCACACCAGCATGGTCTCCAGGCCTGCATTTCACATAACTGCTGCACTCCAGCTGCAATGGTCTCCCCTTGAGTCCTTACACATTCCTTTTAACAGCACTGCTTCTCAGCAGCTAGTTCTGATCATTTCCAAAGGCAAACACAAACAAAGACATTTTGGGGGTTTATTGCAACACTTAGCCCATTTCTTCCTGCCCACAGTCTATGCAAATATCTGATTTTTGTCAGCAGCCCTTAGTGCCTCGTGCACACCTCTGGCAAGTTCTTTACCATGCCTGCCTGCCAAACTCTTCTCTAGAAAAATGGCATTAACACATCAAAATCTTATTGATACTCATATGCTCATTTTGCACATCATTGCATTCATTTTCTTACCAAGATTAAAATATTTATCAAAATTTGTTAGAGCCAGCTGTATTTGACTGGGTTATGTTTAGAAGCAAGGAGTTTGATCCAGATGTCATTTTCATAGTCCATCTGCTAGGTCTCCTACAGGATTTTTAAATACATATGCTTTTCACATTTTAAACCGTGTTTTCAGTTCATTCTTCAATCACTCGGAACATATGATGGTCAAGCAATGTTTATAGTTTGATTGCTGGATCTAAAAAGCATCTCACACTTCTTTGCTTTGTAAAATGCTCTAAATCTTTTATACCATTTTGTTTGTAGGAGAGCTCCACTTCTAAATCTTTTACACAGAAACATTAAAAGATCTTTTAATCTGCCTTCTTTCCTTCTCATACTAAATTCATACTTCTCATACTAAACTAAAAATTCTCTTTGTTCTTTGCTAAATGGCTTCTGCATTTCAATAAGGTAGGTACAATCAGAGTTTATATATTATTGGAAAACATCTAAAGCTTGCAGAATATTGCTCAAGTTTCAGTATCTGATTATTATTTAAAAGGTGGGAAAGAACGCAGCCTGAAAAATGTAAGGAAAAAAGAAGCAATGCCTCCATTTCAATTTTAGAAGGGTTCCTTTACAAAATAAACAATGAAAATGTATTTCTGTAGATGGAAAGCAAGATTATCTTGATATTATGAAAGGGCTTACTTAATGTTTATCCTAGACATTAATGAATATGCAAATGAAACTCAGAGTCAACTACTCTTCTTTCAAACTGCTCCTTGGTTGTTGTTTTATGAAGGTGGGAGAGGGGATTAATTTCTTGGGGTTTTCTAACTCACTAAACATGATCAGCTGAACGGATAAAATCCACAATCCAAATATACTTATCTGCTTATAACTTTTCTTCTTCTGCTGGTTATTGAGAAAGAACTGTGGAAAAAACATGATATCTCGGTTCTCAAAATATTTGTCCTGTGTGGGATCCTTTTTTCCTACATCTCTTGTGATGAAGAAAAATAGAAGAGCCTCAATTCAGACTGAGTCTGATGCCTTTTGTAATGACTACTCTCTAATATTGTTTAATTGCCTGTGAAGATGCAAACAGGCCTAAAATCCATAATAATTAGCTTAAAATAACTGGCTGAGGTTCAGGCAAATCATCCAATATCAGCATTTCTGGTTACTTTGCAGAGTACAAAGGAGAAAATTAACAGAGATAATCAGTGCATGCAGTAGAAAGTGGGGGGGAAAGGTTTATTTGCTAATAATATGTGTTCTAGCACATCTTTTAGCTTTTTCTGTATGCTGCAGACAGTAAACATAAGGCCATATAAGCCATAGTCAACATCTACGCATTGAAATTCATATTTGCGGGCTAGCTATGTGCCAAAATTTGCAAGGAGAGAAAGAAACTACTGAGAAAGACACAGTAAAGACATGCAGAAACTAGTAAAACAAGTAACCCCTGCTTCTCTATCAGTTAGAAAGAGAAAATACCTGTAGCCCACAAAATTTGGCACTTTTTTTTTTTTAGGTCAATGAACCACTTCCACTTTGGTCTGTGTTAAATTGGATTCTTCAAGTGATACCAGTACATTTAATATCACCAGTTGCTGCTACATTCTAGAAGGTAAAGTAGCTGAAATGGGAGCAGACTACTGTTTATCAATTCATCTGAACACACACTTCTCAAGGTCTGAAATTGCTGCTGTTTTCAGATTGCACCTAGAAATGAATATCAAACCAGTGAGTTTGCTGCATGAAAATCAGTCACAGTGGAAGAACATACCAGCTAGAAACCAGCACACCACTTACATATATATGGGGCTATAACTGAGTCTGTAATTAAAAACTTATCTAACACTAGGAAATAAAACAGTAATATAGGAGAAAAAAAAAACAAACAAGCCAACAAAACAAAGCAATAACAAAATCCCCATCAAACTTCAGATAAAGCCTAGACAGTATTATCTCCATTTATGGCTAATAGGAAAAAGTTAGCCATATATATATCTTTTATATCCTCTACAATCTGCCTCCAACAAATGAGCTTATGTATATCAGGATGAGAATAAGAATACTCTGGAACCTGTGGTTTATGCAGACAAATCTCAGAGAAAAAAAAAATACAGTGTAGGAGATAAAACACATAACAAATATATTAATGCCTCTCTTTCTTGTCATTGCTGTGGACAATAATGTTACTTGTACTGTCTTGCTGATTTTTCCACCAACATCTTTATTCCAGTCTTGAATATTCCAATGAACATTCTGCTTGGCTGCAAATAAAAAAAATCAGATTGAAAGAATAATGTAAGCAGTGGGTCTTTTAAAGAGCCCTTCTGGAATATCAGTGTATGCACTTGGGATGAGTGCATTGTACAGTATATCTTCAGACATCTAAGATTTCAACATTTTTTTAAAGTTGCTGAAAATATTTTTTTCTAAAATTTTGGTTTTGTAAACACTGATATTAGAAAATATTTTTAACCATCTAACAACTCTGAAAAAAAATCCCATTAATGCCTGGCAGCCAGTTGTAAAAAGCTTGCTGGAGGCTAAGATTCTGATTCATTATTGAACTTCTCTCACATTTTTTTTCAACTAATTCAGAGAAAAATTAATTTTATCTCAAGCTCTTTAAATTACTGTAACCAAGTACATATACATACATAACAACATACTGTAATATTTTGGTTGAAATAAAACAATTGAAATATTAGCCATGGTCACATACATATCTGCCTTCCTCACAAAGTTATATAGATGAAACTATGGTTGGAGAAACCACAACAATATCTTTTAAAGTAACAATATCCTTAACTGCTTTCAGAAATTTTGATTTATTTGGAAACTCAGGGGAGTAACCTTTATTACGCTTAGGTGAAGTATTGAATTTGTATTCCATTGTTTTAAATTAATTATTTTGCCTGTGAAATTGGCATCAATGCTGCTTCTACTGAGATTAATATGAGTAGGGCTTCACCATATGAGCAGGGCTGGATCTTCCTCATCCCATAAATATCTACTATTTATATATCAATTTATATATGATCCTTTAAAAGAATACAATTATATTCAGTAATGAAGTGCTGCTCATTTTCCTCCTTACCTTTCAGAGAAAAGAATGCACTGACTAAACATCAGTGGGCTACACAAGAAACTTGCAATGAGCTCTTAGTTCTGATCAGTTTTTCTGAAAAGAAACATTTTAAAATCTATGTATGAACTGCACACAAAATTTCCATTTTTCTGACCATTCCAAATCACAATTCAATATGCATTAGCTGGGCTTCTGTCAACATAATTGGCTACAGCAGCCAGATTCTCAGAAGGGCTTAACTTCAGCTTTGCCACCAAAACAAATAAGATTATCAGAACAAGCACTGCATACAAGATGCTGACTTCTTTGAGAAACCTGTGCACAAGTGTCATGGTTGGAGTTGCTCTATGCTGGCCTCTTCTGAACATTTGACCTTCATCTAAGACCCAGAGTGGTGCCAAATCCTATTTAGAAAGCCAATCTCCCCTGACTGCCTTTTCTCCCTGTAAAAATCCGCTCTACTGCATCTGCAGGATTAGCAGAATAAAATAGGATACGGAAGGGACAGCATATGTAGCCCAACCATTTTGCTTTTTAACTGTTATTCCTGCTGCTTACTGCTTGATTCCATGGGAATATTTATTTCAATTATTAAAGAGTAGAAAAAAACAGAAATGACCTTCTGAACTAACATGTCTGCTCTTGTAAATTTTTCAAGATGGCTTAGCCTAAGGAAGGAGCTTCTAGACATCAATGCAAATTCACATTTTGATGGATTTTGTATTGATTGCCAATGTCAATGTTAAAGCACATGTTATTGGGGCCTAAAGAAAGCATTTTCTAAAAATAGGCATCCTAGTTGTCTAGTAGGCTTGAATTCAGTGTTGGCAGAGTATCCAGTTTAATTGCAATTTCTTTTGTTCTACTATATATATTATATATTTATATATTTTGTCTTACTTTTTATTGTATTCAGTGACTTCTTCAAGTATTTAATCTTCTGTCCCTTTTAGAACCATATAAATACAGTTATATTAGTAAATATAGGACACATTTAGATCAAATTAAGTATTCCATGGAGAGGTTTCAATTTTTACCGATTGTGATTGACATGAACACAAAACTAATGGGTTTTCTCAGAGCAACAAAGAAAAATTGCAATTTTTTAAAAATCCTCTGTGGCCTTTTAAAAATGGAGGTCTGAGGACTTTTCAGAACCAAGTTCCCTTTTCATTTATTACCATGTCCCAGTGGGAGAAAGAAGATGGAGAAGAAATAATAGAAGCATAAAAGTACAGACATAATAAGTTTATATTTTAATGCCAGACTATTCACAAATGCCAGAGAACAACAGTGTATTAATTTAACATAGTTATGGCCTCACTGCATCATCAGTATTTCCAGATCAGTTGGATGATGTGACAAAATGAAACTTCTGAGGTGATACTTTGTGTAAACACAGATGTGAATGGAGCCTTGCTGTTGGGATGATCAACAGTTCTGTGACTTCAGTCATATCAAAATGACCACATTCTATATAAGGGGACCAAAGGCAGGAGGGCACACAAGATTGTCTGAAGGTGAAGACCTCAAAGTCCTCCTGGAACATACAAAGTATAATGTGGTTGCATGCAAAATTTATACCAGAGAAGAAAGAGTAAGAAATAGATCAAATCAACCAGAATATCTGGTTGCAAATCAGTGCACTAATTCATGTTGGGGGGTTTTCACCCAGAGGGAAACTCTTTGTCTAAAGCTGATTATAACTTGGAATGGGGGCAACGCGCAGTATCAAATAAGAGCAACATTTTATACAAGGAAAAAAATACAGCAGGGTAGAGACTTAGAATTTATTATGGGCTTCATTAATTTTACTATGGTTCAACTTAACTAGATGATGTGCATTACAAAGAATCCTGTAGAAGAGTGAAACAAAACAGAGAACAAGAAGGGAAAGAAAATAAGGCAACTAAGGGGAATACACTGTCCAGAGAAAAGGTTTTGCCTGAGCAGAGGAACAACACAAAAGAATTTCCTCTCTGGCTAGATCAAATTTTTTTGAAAACACAACCTCAAGAAGCAGCATTTGAGACTGACCAGAATTTATCATTTACTTTGTGATGAGCAATAAGCAAATTAATTAAGCATTTTAATGGTGCTCTATTTTCTTGATGTGCTTTGTTTTGAGGTTTTACTTGTTTAGAGACAGTTAAATACAAATTAAAATTAAATGTAGTATTTGATTTTTTTGTTACAGCAAAACATCCCGCTCAGTCTCAAATCACCCTACAATTTGGGGCTTTGTTTAAATTTCATGGAAAGTAAAAATAAAGATACGTTTTCCTCTGGTGTTGTCCCTTGGCATTCTTGGTTTTTTCCTTGGGCAAGTTCAAATTAAAAAGAAAAAAAAATTAGAGTTACGGTCATTTACAGAGCTCTACTCCTGCCACAAATTCTTGGGTCATTACTGGTCTGCCAGTGAGGCGAAGTTAGTAGGAAAATCACTCTTTCTCAAGTGCTCTCTTAAGAAACTATCTCTGAACCTTCATTGTGCTCTTTTCTTTTTCAAACATTACTTTAATGGTTTTGCTACTGTTTCTTATGAGAGCAGCACACAATAAGTTAGGACAGCAGTATAAACTCTGCTAGATGTCACAACTTATTAAATTATATCAAAGGGGAAGAGATGGAGCTTCATATCTCAGGGATAATAGTGACAAAACAGTCAAGAAGAAGCAAGTACAGAATAACTGCAAGTAACTTGCACTCTGCCTGGTGAAATCATGCTGCTCCTGAGATAAGGGATGCTTTTGCAGGCTTTGCCACCAACTGCAGTGGACTAAGTACCATCTTTATCTCCTACAAGGAATTCCCCAGCTAAATATCCACAGTCAGCCCTAACATACAGATTAGGAGACTAATCATATCTTGTTTAGCCATATAAATCCCAGTTCAGCCCTTACAACTGTCCTAATTCTGTTATCAAAGGAGTAATTTAATATTGCTGACCCGGTTCAATAAGGTGCTAAGAGATGATAAAGGAAAGTCTTGATCACAATAAGGTCAACACATGCCTTCAGTGAAACAAAACTGATTCCTGTGATCACTTGAAGGGACCTAGGCTACTCTTCCATTCTGAATCACCTTTGGCAAAAAAGCAGCAGAGGCTCACCTCTCCCTGTGCAAGCTTCCTGTTTTTCCGAGCACTCAGTGATGTGGTAAAGAGTATCTAGAAGATATCTGCTCTGTGGATAACCCCCAGCTCTGTGGGGAGAAAAAAAAAAAAAACCTGTTACAACTCTCCATACAGACAAACTCTTCCAGTAGTTTAACAATAATACACATATAAAATACCTCTAAATCTCCAGGCATGTGCTGCAGAAAACAAAAATGCAAAATTGTCAAAATATAGGGAGGCAAAGGCAAAATAAAGAAATGATAGCTTCAGCCTATCCAAATATTCCACCTAGCGCGGTGTTTATTAGATGGCTATTCCAGCTATTTTGTCAGACATTCTCACTCCTTTTCCACACTTTTCTTTGTTGTGACTGTTTTTACTGTTTGAGAGTTGAGAAGCATGTCAAATGAAGGAGTCACATTTTCAATAATATATCAAACATAATCTGAGCACATTCAGAAATGATGGGGCCCATAGCAAATTACATGTTGCAAAGCCTCATCAGCTGAAGCGATTACTTCATTTCTTCAAGTCATTTTAAAAGAGCTAAGAAACTGATGCTATTTACATCATGTATATAAATAACATGTATCTCATATTTATATAAAATGTGTGAGATTGGTGAATATTACTGCAAGTGTTCATTTGAATTTTAACTTGAATTCATACTACCAGTGATTGCACAATGGAGACAATGATTGTACCCAACCCCTTTTGAATTTTTTCTCTGTGGGATTTCAATGAGTCTCTGCTTTTTTTGCATGAGTTTTCTCAGAGGCAAGGGCTTGTGATGACAAGTGCAGTATTTACAGAAACTATTTTAAAAAATAATTTGAGGAGTGCTCCTAAAGATCAGCCATCTGAAGACAAACTGATTGTATTATGAAGGGGAAAGAAAAAAGGGAAAAAGGGGAAAAGGGAAAAAAGGGGAAAGGGGAAAAGGGGAAATTGAGACATTTTTGGTATTTTGTTTGGAGCTTGCTTTGATTTCAGTTAAAATGTACATAGCCGTACTATAAAATCTAAAACCTGGTTTGATAGATTTCAAAAATGTTTGTCAAAAACAAGGAGCACTTGTCAGCAAAGTGTTTCCATCCTGAGATATATCAGAGACATATAAGATCACATTTTACTTTGTGTGCTGCTATGACTGGTAAAGATAAGTATTTTTTTCAAAAAACTGCAGTTAATAATATAACAGTAGATTATATAGCACAGTTCATTTGGTACACAACAGTGCTCCACATTTCAAATGGGTAACACTTCTAAAATCCCACAGAGAAAAACAATGAGCCACCCACACAAGGCACTGAAGCACCTCAGAGAAAAGGAGATTACTTTGCTAATGAAAGCTTTACAATCTATTAATCTCACCTACCTGGTATTATTTTGCATACCATATGGGACAATTCATCACAGGATGCCCTTATTCCTAAAATTCCTCACCAGAGACATCAAGGCCAGTAAAGTTACACATCGGAGGGCAAATATGATTGTGGATTTCACCTGAGAGGACTCTGGAAATGGAAGGAAAAAATACTAAAGAGCTGTATTCAATCATTCAGAGCGCGGAAATAACAAATTGTTGACGACTGAAGAGTCTGGCTATAATTCCAAATACTGCTTCAACTTTCCCACAAGAAGCATTATACAGAAGGTTTCTTGCAAATCCCAGCTGGATCAAAAAAAGTAGCATGAATGAGCTACTTTTTTCAATTATGTTTACGTCCTAGATTAGAAAATGCTTTCCAACTTCTATAATGAAATGCTTTTTACTAAAGAGCCAGTTAAGATTAGTTGGGACTGTTGTGACTAAAATCCACAATGGCTGAAGAACATTATGAACATTAGGAAGATTGAGGTGACTTCCCAAATGACTATTCCCACAAGTTGACAATGTCATGAACATTTCAAAAACTATCACAAAATTAATCAATGAAATCTCACACTCACTTGACATTCAGACGCATCCCTAGCCACGTTAAACACTTTGGAGTCTGGATTTTGAGTCTCCAGAAAGTTAAAATCCTGCTGATATTTTTGGTGTTGTAATTTGCATTTTTTCAGGACTGATTTTTTTTCAGAGTTTAAGTGCTGCTGGCCTATGATGGACAACTAAATAAAAGGCAAGGAAATCAGCTTGGAAAAAACGGCCTTAAAGAACATTTCTGCAGAAAAAACTCAACATGTCATAAAAATATAGTGAGGCACAGACATTCCCAGTCGAGCAGCTGAACCCCAAGGCAACCTTTCAGCTAATATGCAAATGGCAGAAGCAGCTGTGTATAGTGGCTTTTTACCGTTTGGATGCATAATATAAGAAAGAAAGTTGTATATTTTAATTCATGTTTGCCCCAAAATAACACTAGCTGAAAGAGCAGTGACTCTCTGGCACTGTACATCTGAAGACAAGGCTGCAATGTAGTATGGCCCTGGAGCCAACAGGTATTTGGCCCTGAATTTTAAAGGAGGTTTGTGTAAAGAACAGAAAAAATAGGAAAAAAAAAAAAAAACCTGGGTATATTAACTTTGCATTGAAGCTGTTCCCGTAGGGCGTGAAGAGAGGAGAAACTTTAACTATGAGAAGGCAAGAGAAGGAAACAAGACTGTAATACATTCAGAGTCAGGCCAAAACAGAGGTAATTCCAAGGAAGGAAAGAGGTTCTGAGGGCTCTTTGCAAATGAAAATTGGCAATTGGCACCAAGCCACTTTTGCAATGAGCCAGAGCTGAGGTCGCTACTACAGCCAGTGCTTTGCCACTCCTGAGTAATAAGCTTTATGTGGGGGATGTCAGCTCAATTTATTATACATAGATTAAATTTGATTTTCTACTGCATTGACAAATTATATACACACAGGCTTATGAAAACCTCCTCTGCTCTTAATATACATTTGTTCATATTTCTTATTCCTGAAGTTCAAAGAAAGGCTGAAAGCCATCAGAGTTATTGGATTATTATTACACCTGTAAGATAACAGAAATCAATATTATAAAAATATATAAGTACTTGATTTTCATTGCATTCAAACAAAAACTAAACACTTAAGATATGTACTCTATAAAACAACTCAGAAAAATTTACATGCAGGTCCTATTAAAAAAGTAAAAATGTTTTCAATATCCCAACATTAAGCAAGATTTATGCGTTCATCTAAAATGAAAGCAGTCAGTAGGTTGTTTATTTAGCCTCTAACACACTATAAATAACATCTAAAGAAATTAAATTAACTTAATAGCCACCAGCAGCAAAAGAGTGACTTTAATAAGTGCCATTTCACAGGAAAGAAACACATTACACAAATTCCCTACAAGACACTGAATCTACCTAAAAATGCTGACTCTGGCATATGTACAAAATGCTATGTTCAACTTCTCAGTACATTTGCAGCTCTCCTCCTCTACCCAGCCACGTATTCAGCATTATGAAACTTAAAAAAAAAATCAATTTGCACAAGATTTCCTGTTAAGAGTTTTGTCTGGTTTTGCAGTGTGGTGGTGCTTTTTCTTTGTGCACACCTACCTATTTGTCACTCTCAATAAAGATTGAGCACAGTGACTTATTTGAACTGACTTTGAAAGACTGAGATCAGAAAGACCTGTCAGGTCCTAACAACTCCATGAAAAGTAGAAAAACCTTGGAAATGCCCACATGAGAAAGCAGCTCCTCACAAATCCTCACATTAAGGGAAAGCTTACCTTTCTTTACACAACAAAATCAAAGAGAAAAATCATAGAATCATAGGGAAACAGATTTCCTTCCTTTTTACAGTTGTGGAAACACTTAATTAAATACCTACGTCAGTATAGTCTCTTATAGAAATGTAGCTTGGGGATCATATGGCTCCATATCACCCTAGCCAATGCATACTACTTCCCAAGTCCTTTTCTTTAGCATCAGGTGAACCAGCATTGCAGAGGGAGCAGTAAAGTTCATCCATCACAAAGCTCTAGCCAAGTTAAAATTCACTTTGTATCTTTTCATCAGTTCAAAATAATCCTATCAACCTAAAGAACATACCGTGGTTTTCTTGTCAGGGGTCTCTACCTGGAAGGGCCTCCCTTATATATTTGAGACCCATGTGCTGATGCTCCTGCTAACTTCCGTATCCTTCCCTTTGCTCCTCAGGGTCACAGAACTGCAAAAACAGTGACATTTCAAAGGTGGGTGGATAGCCTGGACAAAATCTTAGGAAAGTCTCAAATGCAAAAATGCTTTAAGAAAACAGAAATTTTCACCAAAAGGGGAAAAAAAAGCAAATTTTGGAGTGCTTTCTGGCAGTAAAGCAGCTGCAAATTAGCTCCTTTGTAATTCCACTTAATCTGTGGAAGGAAACAGAGACACAACCTCTAAGGAAAATGTCCTGTGCTTAAACTGAAGTTAAGTGAATGCAATGAATGCACGAGAAAGGACTTGTTCCTATTCACTTTTATCCCTTTATTTTTCATTATAGGTTTCTGAAGAAGCTAACCAGCATGGGACAGGAAAGTCCTCAAGAGTGAAATGAGGATATGTCTCTCAATATTAACTCAGAGAAAAAAGTGCATTTTTTGTTGAAAAATCCAAGGGTTGATTTATGGATGACTGCTACCATGAAACAAGGGACAGAGGTGTCCCTTTTGCAGAAAACAGAAATTATGAAATGGTGTTGTGTCAGAGAAAGACTGACAAAAAGTTTCTTTTGTTTGAGAGAAGATATTTCTAAGCACATTCTCATGGCAGCTGAAATGGGGATTTTAATCTTTCCTCAAGACAGAAAAATTTTCAAATGCAAGTGCTGAGTGTTTTTCACTGAATATCAATATAGCTGAATATTTTCACTGTAGATGAAGTCAAGGATGTCTGAAGAGGTTTAAAGTATGTACTTGCACTACAACAAAGCAAAAAGTCTTTAAGTTCAAAGCTGACAGCTTAGAGGAGATGAGCACAAGCATCTGGCTGCTTCTGTTTCCCCTTTCAAGAGGCAGCAGTTCAATGACACTTGTTTCCTGCCTTGCTGTCCTCTTAATTTGACAGCAAGCCTGAAATGATAACCATGTCTGGGAGATCTGAGGTAACATTCAGTGAAAGAACAAGTAGTAAAAGAAACACAAGAAACACAGCATTAAATTGTTCTTTCAGTGTATTTATCTGTAAGATCTTTCTTCGTGTCACATATGACTGCTTTAAGTATTGGTTTATAATCCTCTTTCCAATATTAGCAATTCTTGAAATGCAAGCTTTGGTTTCAGTAAAATTCATGTTCCAA